TCGTTGCTGTTGGAACGGGACTTATCAGCTTATGGATATTCGCCTGGATACTTATCCAATTTTGTATCATTTTGCCTTTAGCCTGGTTTCTACTACTGGACCGACTTACCTCGAGCTGGAACTAGGGGATGATCTACATCCTACACCAAACTACCTGACAGCTAGGACTTCGAGATCCAGGGACTCTCACCACCACGATTTATCGCGGGAGAGTCATTTTCCCCTCCCAGACATTCCAAGGATTCTACGACCGGGAACTCCGACTTCGCTACGCTCAGAACAGCACCGAAGACCGGAACAGGGACACTGCTTCTTGAACAGAAGGACTCCCACACTGTGTGATCCACCGAGACCATCACAGAACCTATAAAGGCTAAGTTTACCAAGAACGAGCATAGAACTTGAGCAATATAGCAATAGTAATGATGATACCGTCTGTATGTTAGGGACACTTGCTTTGTGTTAATATACCTTTCTAATTGGATGAAATCCGTTTGATGTATATACATTGAGCACCACGAGTGTTTCACGTAGGAAGTTTTAAATATTATTGTGTAATAAATATTTGTAGTTAATTTCACCTTTAACTAAGACTTCGTTTCAGTCTATACTATATGTATATAGATAGGTGTTATGTCCGTGTGGTTATTCGGCTTAAATAACATATCCCTAGACAGAGTGCCAAGAGGAGATCTCACACGAGAGACACTCCTCTCTAATAAGTCATAAGTCAGATCACCACAGAGAGTAATGGAGAAAGGGGGCGATATAAAGTGAGAGAGAGTGATAGAGAAAGGGAGAGAGAGAGAGAGAGGGCAAGAGAGAGAGAGAGCGATAGAGGAGTAAGAGAGAGTGAAAAAAGATGAACCAAAGTGACTGTGAGTATGTGAGGGGGAGAGAGTGGACGAGAGTGAGATGGAGATATAGAGAGGGCTATAGAAAGATAGAGTGAGAGAGATAAATAGAGGGCAATAGAGAGAAAAAAAGAGTGAGAGAGATTGTTAGAGATGGAGAAAGAGAGCGAGAGATATTGAGAGTGATTCAGAAATAGAGAGAGAGTTAGAAAGAGTGATAGTGAGCGATAGAGAAGGGAGTGATGGGGAGGGAGAGTGCGGTTGCGAAAGAGGGTTAGAGAGAATAAGAGAGAGGGAAATGGGAACGAGAGAATGATAGAGAAGAGTGTGTAATAGAGAGGGAATGGGGAAGAGAGAAGGATAGAGAGGGGTGAGATAGCAAGTGATAGGAGAGATATACAGCAACAGAGGGAGGAAGAGAGAGAGGGAAGGAGAGAGAGGGATTAAGAGAGGGAGAGAGTTAAATGGAGAAAGAAAGTGGGCGAGAGAGAGAAAGAGGGCGTTGTAGAGTGAGCGATAGGGAGATAAATAGATAGGGTGATAGAGATAGAGAGAGTTGAATAGAGAGAGTAAAAGAGAGTGAGAGAGAGGAATAGAGAGAGGGCAAGAGAGTGAGAGAGAGGAATAGAGAGAGGGCAAGAGAGTGAGAGAGAGGAATAGAGAGAGGGCAAGAGAAAGCAAGATAGAGAAAGTTTGTTAGAGAAATTTCGAGAGAGGAAACGAGTGAGAGAGAAGCTGAGTAAGTGAGAAAAAAAGAAGAGAGATAGCGTGACAAAGGGAGAGAGAGTGATATTGAGGGTACAAGAAAGAAATATATTGAGAAAAAGGGAGAGTATGTGTGAGAGAGGTAGAGAGGAAGGGTGAGAGAGAGGGTGAGAGAGAGAGAGAGTGAAAGAGAGGTATAGGGAGAGAGACAGAAAGAAGAAGTGAGACAGACAGAGGATGTGAGAGAGGTGGATTGAAAGTGAAAAAGAGAGAGAGAGGGCGATAGAGATCGTAAGAGAGAAAGGGAGAATGAGGGAGAGAGTGATATAGATGTGAGAGAGTGAGCAAGAACGAGTGCAAGAAAGGACAAGAGAGAGGGAAAGGAGAAAGAGAGGGGGATAGAGAGGAAAGAGAGAGTGAGAGAGAGGGAATATGGGAGAGAGCAAGAGAGAGGGGAGAGATAGTGAGTTATAAAGAGAGAGTGAGTCAGCGAAAGAGATTGAAAGCGAGAGGCAGGGAGAGAGAGAGGAGGAGAGAGAGGGAGAGAGTGAGTGGGAGGGAAAGCGAGAGTAAGGGAGAGAGAAAGAGTGACGGAGAGAGAGAGAGGGGAGAGAGGGTGAGAGAGCGAGATAGAGTGAGTGAGGGAGATGGAGAATATTAATAGATAAGTTGTAACCGATCATAACAAAACTTTCTAAATAAAACACAAATGCTTGTCATGAGTGGGTACTACGGGAGGCCAACATACATTTATCATTAGGACCAAGGCTGTCCATTGTAAAACCTGATCTGACCCAATCTTATAAATATTTTACTTTTCATACTTGCAACATTTGATTTCTATGAAGTGTTGTAAAGTTAATGTCAAAAAACCGTTTTGTTTCAGTTTAATATAATTGTTTGGAGACCTCCTTTGAACGGCACCTAAGTAATGCATGCATGTGATATATTTAAGTGCATATGAGCACATGCCTTATTGTTGTTGTCTTTTTTTAATTAATCATAACAAAAAACTAGACAGAACCAGTCTATTAATCCTACAAGAGTTATCCACAGATATTAAGTAATATGACAAACATATAGTTTCGTGTCACAACACTTTTTATTACCTAAAAAAAAAATTTTACAAGCAAAAAAATTCAAACTCTATCGTGTCGTCTCTTTACAGTTTTAATTTCTTTTCTTCTTTTTTAAAAATACATTTGTTATAAACTAGTCTTGTTTTGCAGTCGTTAAGGGACTGCAATTTTCTTTTCCACTTTTTTATTCCACCAGGCAACAAAAAAGCTGCTATTTTTCCTTCCACCTAAAAAGTCGTATCTGATTCCAGCATGGATTACACTTCATTTACTGACTAAGTTTTTTAAAATCATCAACTTAAATTTTCTTTGGAAAGTAAATAGGTAGGTGCGATGTGTGTCCCGAGTTGTTCAATTGGGTACGAAGGCTTAGGGTTTCCTGACTCTTTCAGGAGAAGCGGGCTTCACTAAGGGATTGGCTTTTCTGAGTCTCTCAGCAGAAGCGGACTTCAATAAGGCTCTAAAATCACCGTCGTTTTTGGCGTAGAGTGGTTGGCGTTGTGGTGCTCCGAAGTAACCGTCGTTTTTAGGGTTGAGTGGTTGGCGTTGGAGTTCTCCGAAGTAATCGTCGTTTTTAGGGATGAGTGGTTGGCGTTGGAGTGCTCCGAAGTAATCGTCGTTTTTAGGGTTGAGTGGTTGGCGTTGTGGTGCTCCGAAGTAACCGTCGTTTTTAGGGTTGAGTGGTTGGCGTTGGAGTGCTCCGAAGTAATCGTCGTTTTTAGGGTTGAGTGGTTGGCGTTGTGGTGCTCCGAAGTAATCGTCGTTTCTAAGGTTGGGCGGTCGGCGTTGTGGTGCTCCGTAGTAACCGTCGTTTATGGGGAAGAGCGGTTGACGTTGTGGTGCTCCGTAGTAATCGTCATTTTTTGGGTATTGCGGTAGGCATTGTGGGGCTCCGAAGTAATCGTCGTTTTTGGGAAAGAGCGGTTGACGTTGTGGTGCTCCGAAGTAATCGTTTTTGGGTGAGAGCGGTTGGCGTTGTGGTGCTCCGAAGTAATCGTCGTTTTTGGGGGAGAGCGGTTGGCGTTGTGGGGCTCCGAAGTAATCGTCGTTTTTGGGGGAGAGCGGTTGGCGTTGTGGGGCTCTGAAGTAATAATCGTTTTTAGGGTAGAAGGGTGGGCATTGTGGCGCTCCGAAGTAATCTTCATACGGGGAGACCTCATTGTAATCTAAACTGGAAATCGGACGTGTCAATGTGTTGTACTGCTTCGAGATCCGATAAGCATTTGTCATGGTAACACACCAACAGCAGAAGATGACACAGTATTCGGGTCTGTTTGGTAGTAGTGACATCCTCTCTGAAACAGATTGAGTTTCAAAAAAGGTAACATTCTAAAATTATTGCAACACTGTCAAAATGTTTAAAGTGTTTATTTGAACTTCATTATTGTCCATGAAAAAAAAAATGACATTTATAATTGATTAAAATGAAGTCTGGATTTCATGAGAAGCGTGTTAAACTTTTGTCAGGCGTACCGCGGGGCCGTGTGTTGTGAACTTTAACAATCTGAACATGACATGACATAATTAAAAACAAGAAATTAGGGTGTAGATCATTACAACCATCTTATGTATGGCCTACATATGTGGGATTAGACGCTCCCGATTATGAGTATCCTATGTATGGCCTAAATATGTGGGGGTAGATGCCCCTGATAAGGAGTATCCTAAGTATGGCCTAAATAGGTGAGAATAGACGCCCCTGATAATACTCATCCTAAGTAATATTTAAAAGTATCAATTGTTTGGAAATTTTATTTAAAAACAATTTTATATTAACACATATTCCCTTAATTTTAATTTTCTCTTAATTAATCGTTTTTGTTTATGTAAAACAAACAATATTATATTACTAGATAGAGCCCGCCAAACATTGGCGACAGCAATATGTGAAATTCCCATCTAGTAAAGTTACTTGACAAAACATGAACTCAAGTAACGCACATTTAAAAGAATCCCAATATTTCCTACACCCCTCCCTACATGATACGTCACTGCAAACTTTTTATTTCACTACCATGATCTCTATTAATATTCTCATGTCCATACCACTTTTAAATAATAATAATACTAATAAGTGGTCTTATATAGCGCGGTACCCCGGCCTAGGGCTGGGCTCACCGCGCTGTACATATATAGCAAAGAGGCATAATCATAATATTAAAATAAAATACATAAATGAAATAAAAACAACATATAAGCAAAACAACACCATAGGTATATTCATCCACCCACACCAGACATTTTTACAAGGAAACCCATGTACGTTTATCGGTTTATAGGAGGAGAATCAGTCAGAGTAGTATAGTTTAAATAGATGTGTTTTGAGTGCAGTTTTGAAGGCCTGTGTGGTTGTTATATTGCGGATGTGTAGTGGCAAAGAATTCCATTGTTTGGGGGCGCAGAAAGAGAAAGATCGTTCACCATATAATTTAGTGCGTGTCTTGGGAACGGACAGAATACGCGAGTCTGCGGAGGAGCGAAGTTGTCGAAGGGGTGAATAGACAGAAAGAAGTTCAGTTAGATAGGAAGGGCAGGAATCCGAGAAAAAGTTGTGACAGAGAAGAGACAGCTTGTAGTCAATGCGTGCCTGTATAGGGAGCCAATGTAGTGAGTGGAGTAGTGGAGTGACGTGATCGCGTTTTTTTGCCTTAAGAACAAGCCTAGCAGCAGAGTTTTGAACTTTCTGCAGTTTTTCTATAAAATGTTTCGGTGAACCTGACAGAAGTGAGTTGCAATAGTCAAGACGAGAGAGAACCGAATATTTTGGACACAATACTTAAATTGAGACAATTTCATTTCCGAAAAGAAAATATTACGCACCAAACGAAATTGCATTATTATTATATAATATATATCATATAGCGTAGTTATCGAGAATTGTATTTTGCGCGCTATTATTGAACTCATTATTTAACCACACTCTGGCGTATCTATAAAAAGCCTGCTTGGTGTTTGACCCGTCTTGTTTGACCTTTTTTGAAGAATTGCATATATAGATGATATAATGTGTGGCTCCCCGACCTGTTTGCTAAGAAACAAAAAAGAACACACAAAAAAACAAAAAATAAATAAAATAATAAAAATTGTCCAGTTAGGCTAGAAAACTACAAACATACAGACAGCCACAGCTACCTATTGTTTTCATTCCCCCATCCCAAATCATGCAAAGACTATATTCCTTCCATTCTCACAACTTCTCAGACTACGGCGCCTCTTCCAAGTTGATGATGAAATTTGAGAAAAAGCTGATGAGACGATGGATTTCTTCAACTCCAGATCCTATCCTGAAACGACTCTTGTCTCGGCACACTATCGTATCACCAATATCACAAGAACAAATCTCGCCAAACCAAAAAATGAAGATCAAACCAAGCTCATATTAAACTATCAACGTCACGATTCGACAGCCAAAAAAATATTCACAACAAGTCGTAACAATCTTCTGGCTTACAGCGACACTAACAGGCGAAGCTCATCCCCTCCATTGATGGTCTTCAGATGGGATAAAAATCTAGGTGACATTCTGGTTCATAGTAGCCTTCGAGCTGACGCGTATTACATTGGGACTAAACCATGCTCGAGATCCCGATGTAGGACGTGTCCCTATACACTCCAAACAAAAAATAAAACAAACATTCGCCTTCCAAAACATACCTTTATCATCAAAGGGGATTTCCCATGCATGAATTGGAATGTGATAGATTTGGTAGTGTGCCGTAGAGGTAATTCTAGTTATATAGGCGAATCAGGGAGAAGATTGGCAGATAATTCCACAGAACATCTTCGGGATATTAAACAAGGTAAACTTTGCACAGTCTCTTCACACTTGAACGGCGGAAAAATTGAAGGGAGCCGCAAAAGAAGGCTTTGAAGGGATTTCTCGGGTGTGGCGATACATTTTGAGTATTCCCATAGCAAAGGAAGACTTTGAAGCGATTACACCTGTATAGGGGATTAACTGGTGTATGCCTATAAAAAGATGATAAGCATGCCGTTTTGTTGAGGCAGTGTCATTAAAATTTAAAAAAGTGAAGTGAAAAGTTCGTTAGAAACCAAAGTCTGCATAAATACACCTTTAATTAGATCAACATCTAAAAATAACTTTTTTGTAAAACCCCTTTAAAAAAGTAGTATTTGGCATTGGGGTTGAAGCAGAAAATTTACAAATTTAACTTTATAAGAATACCAGTTTGTGCTTCCACCCCAAGCTTAAAGCAATTAGATAAAAATGCGTAAAGGAAATAAAAATTATGTATTTTAAAACATCTCTTTTGGTGTGCTAGCTTTTAGAAAAAAAAATTATGTATTTTAAAACATCTCTTTTGGTGTGCTAGCTTTTAGAAAAAAAAAAATCTTTTTGGCAAAGAAAACAAAAAAAAACACTCGTAGCGATATTGCTTATTATTATTATTACAAAAGTTACAACGGAAGAAAGTTAAAAACATGAAAATCTAGTGTGACAGGAATCAAGACAAATAAAAACGTGTCATGTTTTTAAAAATATTTTCAATTTTTAGATGAACTTCGTTCTGCGAATCAACTTCCCAACATCTGGGTTCGTCGAACCGCAACCCATCTTCCAGATGTATTAATTATTGCATTATTTATAAGCAGTGAAGAGCGGTGGCTTCCAAAAAAAAATATTTAAAAAAATTGAGTATAAAAAAAAACACACATAAATTCAATGAAAATTAACGTCAAATATCTTTGTTCGTTCTCTTTTGATTTCGTTCGCTTATGAATGCTTCTTACTGAAACTTTCGTTTTTTTCTTGCGTTATTTTTTCTAGGTTTTCCCATACTTTATTCCTATCGTTTTTATTTAATCAAGTCTTTTGCTAGTTTCAGCCTTTAAAACATATTTTATTAATAATTATTATTTTTTTTAAAATTTGTATTCCGGTAGTACCACAAACTGTACTAATTGTTACATTAACCTAAAGTATCTTCACTTGTTTTTACTCAGTGAACTCAGGCATTTTCAGTTACACTTTGCCTACAGTAATGCAAAGATTTAATCAGAATATTTTTATATATTATAAAAAAAAAATAGTAAAGCAAAATCAACTCATTCTTTCTTTATAAAAGATTCTATTGAAAAGACCTATTATATTGCCCTCTAAGTTTCCTAACCCAAAAATTGATCCTATTTAAATTATCCGACTAAATATGTGTCATTGTCTCGAAAGGATAAGCCTAGAGTCTTGTAATCTTGGCCAGTAAGTCAAAGACAAGCAACATCAGACGGGCATCTCAGCCAACAAGTCAAAGACAAGCAACATCAAACGCACATCGCAACTTAAAAGTCAAAGTCGAAACCCATAAACGGGCATGAAAGCCATTAAATCATAGACAAACGCATCAAATGGGCATCACAGCCAGTCAGTCACAAAAAATCGCATCAAACGGGCATCACAGCCAGTCAGTCACAGACAACCGCATCAAACGGGCATCACAGCCAGTCAGTCTTAGTCTATTCACATCAAACGGGTATAACAGTCAGTCACAGTCTCGCCACATCGAACGGGCATCATAGCCAGCCAGTCACAGTCTAACCACATCAAACGGGCATCACAACCAGCCTGTCACAGTCTAACCACATCAAACGGGCACCACAGCCAGTAAGTCACACGTGAGTCACATAAAGCGGACAAATCAGTCTGTATGCCATAGACAGTCCACATCAAACTGGCATCACAAATAGTGATATCGAAGATAGCACTTCAAGTAAATCATAGACAGGCCAAATCAAACGTGCATGTCAGCTAGTAAGTCATAGACGAGCCACATTAAACGAGGATCACAACCAGTAAGTCACAGACAAGCCACATCAAATTAGCATTACAGCCAGTAATTCAAAGATCAGCAAAATCAATCTGGCATGACAGTTAGTAAGTCAAAGACAAGCGACATCAAACGAGCAAAAGAGTTGATTAATAGAGGAACGCACGTTTGTGTAATTATGTGTAATTTTTCTATTATAGTGTATTCTATTACAGAGACTGAATCTACGCAAAGTATCTGAACCTGTGCAAAAAATTCAGGCTTACAAGGCCCTCTAAGATGACTCAAGGTCACCAGCAAATTCAGCTGCACTGAAGAGCATCCGCAGCAAGGTCCAGTTTCTAATGCGCCAGTTGCAAGACTCCCAGATGAGTGTGAACGCTGATGAAATTGGGGCTTTGCAGACAAGAAAGACATGAACAACTTTTACAGTGGCCTCAGAGAAATCTATGTAAATACCACCTTAGGCTCTTCCCCTCTCCTTAGTGCAGACGGCTCTACACTCATCACAAA